TTGTTGTTGTTGTTGTAGCGTTGCTGGGTGTGGAACGCGAACTCTGGTGCTGAAGTCTTCTTTCTGTGTCGTTCTTCTTGCAGGTCCAGGTCTTGCTGCTCGGCATGGATTTCGGCGCAGAGCGCTGCTTCGGAGATTCTTCCGTGAGCTCGGAGGATGGCCTTTGTGGCGCCCCATTGAGGACCGAGGCCGTCGATGATGACTGTCACGAAGGCGTCTTCAGAAATCGACCCTCCACATCGAAGAAGCTTGTTGCGCAATTCGCGACATCGACTGATATACGCCATTCCTTTCTCCCCTGGTTTCATTTCAACCGTTGTCAGTTGCGCCATTAACCGACTTTGACTTACACTGTCTGTTGCTTGATACAGGCTCTTCAGGTGGTTGTACGCGAGCTCCGCGGAGTTACCGTAACCTCGGTAAGTCCTTATGATCTGCTGTTGAGTCGGGGTGATATTTCTCAGTAGGATCGTGTACGCCATCATTGACTGATAGGTGTACTGCTGCTTCTCGTACTGTGTGCCGTTTGTTGGGTATGGTAGGGACCCGTCGAAGAACCCGAGTATCTGCGCGCCTTCCATCATCAGCTCAAACTCGAACGACCAGGTGAAGAAATCCTTTCCATCGAAAGGTCTTGACGTCTGCATCTTCAGAACATGTGCGAACTGCGACTGAACTTGTAGTGCGTCCAGTTGTTTTTCTTGTCCAGGTGAGGGCTGTGGGTGTGGCATGAAGCTGATGGATCCGCGCTCGTACGGAGCAAAGGTAGGCTGTTGTTGCTGATTTCCTCGTGCATACGATGAGCCGTTGAGACTCATGGGTGTTGCTCCGTTGTTGTTGCTGTTGTGTGATTGCGCAGGTGCCGATTGCTGGTGTTGCTCGTAGAAGGACATGAAGGAGAAGAACTTCTCCATCATGCTCTGGTCGAAGTCCGCAGGATGATTTGCGGGAGTCTCAGTAGATGTTGCTCTGGGTCTTGTTGCCGTGCCCTCCTCTGTCTGTAGGCCAGAGGCAGGAGGTGGAGTAGGAGTAGTGCCCTGGGATCCGTTGGAGTTGCTCCTTCCCTTTTGTGTAGCCATGCTGATTGACACTGTTGGTATATACCGTATGGCCCCGGATAGAAGCGCAGGCCTATGTTAAGCGCATGCGCTTGTATCTGGAGCAATGCGCTTATGGCCGATCCTCAATTATAAGCGCACCCCTTTGGAATTCTTGACTTATTATAAGCGCACTCGTTTAGTTAAAAAAAAAAAAGAATTCCATTTTTTTTAACCTACCTAGCCTACATGTTCTAAACTTTCCATTAAGAATGACTATCACATACAAGGGTGGTCTCTGCTGTCCTGCACTACACCTTTCAACCTGCCTAGTCTACCCTACTGCCTTTTCTTCCTCCTCGTCCGACTCAGGCTCCGTGGAGTTGTTGCCCCAGAACCCATCTGCCTGGATGTCGTCGTCCACCTCCACCTCATGGGACAACTGGCACCTTCGGTGCGCTAGCACCAGTTTGTCTTCGCTCCCATCAAGGGCGTTGCTGATGCCGCAAGTGAGGAAGGCTTTCTTGATGAGGTCGGCGGGCACCGCCTTCCAGGCCCGTGAAATCCACTTGAGCACCACCTCCGGAGGTGGTTTCTTGATGTTCCCTGCATCACACGGAGTGGGGCGGGGAAAACATGAGACAAGTAAACATGCATTCAAGCTCAAGATTTGCAGACGGGAGCACATGCCGTCACTCACCTGCCGGGGTCAGGATGTTCATGCCGTCCTCCTCAAACCAATTTTGGTACTGCTGACGAATGCTTGCTTTGAAGCTTTTGTTGATCGACATATCGAGGGGCTGCAGGTCTGCCGTGCAACCCGCCGGAATGATAGCAGGCACGATGTTGAGCGCCGCGAATCTCGCCTTGACTTCTGGTGTCAGGTGACCGCGATACGAGTCGAGCACCAGCATGGCGCTACGACTCTGCAGGCCGAATTTCGGCTTCAGGAACGGCACCACGCCCGTGTTGAGCCACTCGATGACGCCTGCGGCCTCCATCCACCCGTTGGCTTGGCAGCCGACCACAACATCTGCACGCAACGAAAAAGAACAGTTAACGACTCAGGTAGTAACGGGAATAAACACGGTGGACGATCACTTACCGTTCGGGAAGTCACCCTTGGGGAGTGTCTTGCGCTTGAAAAACACCCACGGCTTCAGCTTCTCGCCCGTCGCCGTGCACGCAAGCATGACGGTCACTCTCTCCTTCTGGTACCCACCGCTGCGAATGGGCACCGACCTCACGCCCGTCTGCTCCACGGTGGTCGTCGCCGGCATCTCTAACCACAGCGGTGTCTGGTCGGCGTTGATGATGTAGCGGTTGTCAATGTCGTATTCGTGACGGGCGTCACGTACGTACTTCCAAAAATCATTGCACTGCTCAGCCACGTCTGCAGAACAGGGAGAAAGGTACATACAGTAAACCAAATTAGTATGACGCATAGGAGACATGCGAAAAAAACTAAGCGCAATCGGGTACCCACCAAAATCAGCAGTAAACGACCCACTTACGCTCCTGTGTTTTCTGTGCCACCTTTGTTTTCATGCGCACGCTGAGGTTCCACCGCCTGCGGAACCGCTCCGTCCACCGCTGACTGGCTTTCCACTTGACGTCCGGGTATAGAACCTTCATCACTTCTTTGGACCACTCTTGCAGCCGGCCGACCGAAACCGCAACTCCGCGGCGTCGCCAGTCGAGGAGTTGCGCGTACACCTTTAACTCCATGGGGCGGTACCAAGACGACCTCCCGCGCCCGTGAAGTCGCATCCGTGCTCCGTGTGCAGCCTTGAGCGCATCCGCTTGGGCTTTCCATTCTGTCAGACATTTTCGGTGAATGCCTGACTCCCGCGCCACTTCGCTCACCGAAGCCGCAAGCTCGAGCCGCACGAGCCACCTCAACTTCTCCTGGGCGGTGTAGGACTGCCGCTTATGTTGATTCAGCTTGTGCCTGGGGGAGGGGGGGCGGGCATCTCGATTCTCGGTAGACGGGTGGGGGCGTTTTTTATTAAGGGGCGGATATGTCGGTACCGGCATCTTCGCGCGTGGTGCGTCGCGCCACCAGGACTCCACACCGTCCTCGTCCTCGTCACGGTCGGGGAACACGTCTTCCTCGTCGCCCGCTGCACCGTCGCCACCAGCTTCACCGTCGCCTCCAGCTTCGCCGGCGCCGCTGTCATGTTTATCGGTAGCCACATCATCGTCGGCGCCCACAGCCGACTCATCCCACGCGCAGGATTCTGGTTGTCCCCACCGTGGTGCAGTCGCTGGAGCTTGGATGCGTGCATCGCGGGCCTTCGGTGTGTCCGCTTCAGCCAACCATTCGTCGAACGTGGCTGGTAAATACAGTTGGAGCACGGGCCGTTGGTGAGCACCTGCCGTGGCAAAAGCAGGCGGATTCGGAGGAGCGGGAGGTGCGGGAGGAGCGGGTGGAGCAGGGGGTGCAGGGGGAGCAGGAGGAGCAGGGGGTGCAGGGGGATCCGGTGGCACTGGAGGCGCTGGTGGCTCACGGGTATACCACCCGTCTTCGGTAAGTCGCCATGTGCGGCGTGGCTTTTTCTTGAAGAGGATGCTCGTCCCACTAAATTCCGCCATGGCTTCGCCTGCCAGGCGGGGTTGACAAGGAACTGAATGAAAAAATCAGAGAAGAGGGTGAAGAAATGGGCAACGACGGTGACCCCTGCTGTGTGACGGCTCGGGTTCCTCGTCGATGACAGGCAGGAAACCCCCGCCCACTCCCGTAGAGGCGCCTGCGTGGCAGCATCTACGCTGCGCTGGCAGAGAATCTTGCCGAACCTTCGAGATGGTTCTGCCCGAATGCACATGCCTCGCAGCGCATGCGGCTCTGATTGGGCCGCACGACAACATCATCGTCACGGCTGTCACATTCTATGTTTCCAGACAACATTGTGCGGTGGTAAACCGAACCGCTGCGGTTTCTGCCTGAAAACCATGCACGATCCCACTTGGTGCATGGTCGGTTGAATTCGCCTTATTGAGAGCTTCACAATGGTGTGTTCAAAATTGATTTTCATTTTTCCCTTTATACAAGCGCATGCGCTTATAAATCTGACTCAATTATAAGCGCACCCCCCCAAAAAACAATGTTTTATTATAAGCGCAGGTGCGCTTCTATCCGGGGTATTACGGTAAGTCGAATTCCCCCTGATAGCTCTCATACCATGTTGGGCTGAAAAAGCCCTTAGGATCTTTGCAGAGGTGAATTCTGGGTAGAGTTGATGTAGTAGCGGAAGCGTCTTAATAAGGAGTTTGTGAACCACCTTGCGCTAGTATGTGAGGGCAAAGTGAATTTTTTAAAGCAAAGAGATACAAGATTATATAAGAGTACAAGGAATATGAAAGGATACGGTTATAACTGTTTTACTTGTTGCTGTTGCGGTTCGATACAGTGACGACTCGGGCAACTGCTCTGTAATGAGTCAGTTGTGTGTCCTTGCTATCGCGCTGTATTTGTCAGGTCAAAGGTCGCTGACCTTCGACTTTTGCGTAACCTCCAGCAGTTACTTCGACCTCCGAGGGTTGACTCGCTGGTGCCTCGATATGCTCTGCTTCGTTTGTGCCTTAGTGTTTCGACACGACAGAGGCGCTTAGGAACTATTGTTTCCAACATCTTGCACGAACAAGTCCCTGACTCCCTACAACCCTCCAGCATGGGGTTGGAAAGAACAGCTGGGCGCACCTGCACGCTGATCGGCATGCCGGTACCGTACCATTAAACTCAAGCGGAGTCAATGTCAACAGCTTCATTCAAATGTCCACAATATGTACAAGCAGCGATATAATGCTGCAACCTCAGTCGCCAGTCCATGACCCTTGATTCCTTCTCCTCGATCTTCCATTTTGCTGCCACCGTCCCTGCCAAGCCAATCCCCCTGCCAATCCCCCTGCCAATCCCCCTGCCAATGCCCCTTTCAAGGCCCCTGCTAAGCCCCCTCTGTGCAATCACAGCTCAAACCCTGGGAATCGTGCGTCTTCAGGCCGAACCAGGTGCAGGAAGAGACAAGCAACGCCGCCCAGGCCCTCCATGAGCGAGAAGGGGCGGTCACCGCAGTGCAGCAGGGCGGCATGTGCGAGGCGCTGGCGGTGGGCCAGGAGGAAGGCGGCAAAGGCGTGTGCTCTGTGCAGGTGGGTGCTGGGAGGGGGCAGGGCAGAAGTGGTGGTTTCCTGCAGGCTGGTGGCGTGGAGAGCGGAGGCAGCACGGTGGAGGGAGAGGAAGGCATAGGCGTTACCAGCAATGCCGTGGCACAGACCCATCTTGCGCAGCAGGCCCCGCTGCCATGCTACCTCGCCCGCCGCCACTGCTGCTGCCAGCAGGTGCTGCCTGCTCGGGTGTGACTGGTGCAGGGTAGGGGTAGGAGAGTGGGCATGTGCATGGAAGGGCAGAGATGGAGAAGCAGAGATTGCTAAGGCGCTGATTGCACAGTGTGGTTGAGTTGAGAGCAGAGGCAGTAAGTAGAAGCAGTAAGCAGCAAGGCATGCAATCGTCGCACCGTGGAAGCAGTAGCAGGCAGCATGTGCAGAGAGGAAAGCCCACTGCAGTACCGCAGGTCACGTGCACTGCAGTACCGCAGGTCACGTGCACTGCAGTACCGCAGGTCACGTGCACTGCAGTACCGCAGGTCACGTGCACTGCAGTACCGCAGGTCACGTGCACTGCAGTACCGCAGGTCACGTGCACTGCAGTACCGCAGGTCACGTGCACTGCAGTACCGCAGGTCACGTGCACTGCAAACAAATGCCACAGAAACCACAGATGACAGCACAAGGTGTATGCACAGGCACACACAGCCACATACTGTAGCAGCGTGGGCGAGCGCCATGGCCACACCAGGAGCCCCGTGACACCACTGCACCAGCCTGTCCGCCCCACCTGCTGCCGCCCTGCCTGCACCTACCCCAGCAGCAGCGAGGCGTTTCTCGTCACTGGAGGGGTAGTTACCGCTCGGCAGCCTGCCACCCACCATCCACTCCAACACTGCCACTGCCTCCCCTCCCCCTTCTTCCGCTGCCTCCCTGCCCTCTTCCCCTGCCCCCTCCTCCGCTTCTGCTGCTGCTACCTCGCCCACTCGTCCCACCTGCCCCACCTGCCCCATGTGCCCCGCCCCCAGCAGCAGCGTGTGGGCGATTCCCGCCAGCCCATGTGCTGCTCCCCAGTAGCGCTTCCCGTGCCATGCGAACATGAGAGGGGGGGCGAGAGGGGCGGAGGGTGGTGGTGGTGGGGAGGAGGAGGAGGATGGGGGAGAGGGGGAGGGTGGAGGAGGGGAGGAGGAGGCTGCCGGTGTGCCACTCGTGCTGTCCTTGCGTCGTTTGTGGGGGAAAGAATGCGGTGAGGATACGGAGTGAGAGTGAGAGTGAGTGTGAGTGTGAGGGTGAGTATGAGAATGATCGTGAGTGTGAGTGTGAGTGTGGGACTGGGTATGGGAGGAGGGAGGTACGGCCTGGGAGGGTGGATACCACGAGTGTGCAAAGAACTGCCCGCCAGCAATGATTGCTTCGATGATTGGGCGGCAAACAGAATCAGGAACAGCAGCCCGCCCCAGATGCTGCCGAATAAACAGTGCCGCCCATAGCAAGCCCGCCCGCCCATACAGCAGCTCGTAGGGAATGCCAGCTGGTGCGATGTCATTGGTCGAGGAGGGGCGCTGGGAGAGCGCAGGAAGTGCCTCAGTGACGAGGTCGAGGAACCTTCGCAGAAACTTCTCACTGTCGTGCTGGCGGCGCTGCAGGTGGGCTACGACCGCCCCCAGGGCAAATATTCCGGGCTGCCCGCAAAAGAAAGAATAATAGCTGCCAGAGGTGGGTGGGGGCGGGGGGGGCGTTTGGGGAGGGGCAGCGAGAAGAGAATGGATCAGCGGAAGGGAAAGAGAGGTGAGAGGGAAGCATGTGAGGGGTTGTAGCGATGAGTGGGTGGTGGTCAGGAGGGGCGGGAGGCGGGGGAGGGGAGGCTAACGAGGAGCATCCATAACCGCTGAATGAATGGAGAGGGATGTGAGCGAGGCCACTCGCTAGCCAACGTGGAATGTGAGCACTCACACGCGGTGCTGACGCTCTGCCAGCTCAGCTGCAGCTCGAGTGATGTCAGCAGCGAGGTCCAGGTCAGCACTGCTGCGAGTGACGTGGAAGGCACGCAGGCACACGAAGGCGGTTCCCAGCAGGCCCGTGTACAGGAAGGGGTCTGTCTTGCTGCCACGTGGAGGCCTGCGGTGCTGCCACGTGGCATGGACCACCTGAGAGCGGGTGGAAAGGGGAAGGCACGAAGTGAGGCATTCGTGGGGTGGTTTTCTTACATCATACCCGCACGCAATCATGATGATGAGGCGCCTTAAGCATGCCGTTTTGCATATGCAGCACTTACCCATGAAACCACGCACCAGCGGGCGCTAGGCCGCAGTGCGCGCCCATACAGCGCGCTTACAGCGCCCCAGCGCGTGCCCATGCACCATGCCATATGCACCGCGCAGCGCCATCGTCACACCTCATCTTTGAGCGCAAGGCCGGCCCCAAGAAACGCCTCCTCCAAAGGAAGCGCCAATCGCCTCTCGACACGTGTCGCGTCGCGTGCGCCTATTTCACTGCCTAATTCCCCGCCTTCTACGCCGGTCTCTTCCCCGGACCCGAGAGTTCCACCTGTCCCGCCCCCTTCTCCTCTTCCTCGCCGCTCTCCCCCATCTGCCCGCCCTTCCGCCTCGTCCGCGTCGGGCAGCAGGTTGCGGAAGCGTCGGTCGTCTAGCACCGCCACGGGGAATGCTTCGTCCCGAATTCGCGACTCTTGCTGTGCCGCCATGTGGGTGAGATTCGAAAAGCTTGGCATATTAAGTGTTTTTAATATGTATAAACAATTTTAATTGAAGGGTGACAACGTGGTCGCGTGGCCTAATGGATAAGGCGCTCGCCTCCGGAGCGGGAGATTGTGGGTTCGAGTCCCACCGTGATCGGTCACAGCGTTGCGATCCATCGCTTTCTTTTTCTTACATCACCATTCTCTTCAGCGATTCCTCAAAATTGCTTCTCGCATCGCAACCCAAATGTCACGCGTCGCCTCACACTGCATACATCGTTTTGCCCCGCCGCATGCGTTTCCGCTTCTACATCGCGCGCCTTCCTCCGCCGCCCCTCACTGCGCGCTGATCGCGCCCCTTGCTCTGCGTGCCATGCGATGGACGCCTCTCGCGCCGCCGGTCCGCGCCAGCCGCCACCTTGCCGGTGCAGCGAGCGCACGTCCAGCCCCTCTGGGGCTGCCACGTGGGGGCAGCAGCTGCGGAGATGGCTTGCTGACGTCATAGTTACTCTGGCCTATGAGCCGCCACTGCCGTCCTTGGCCGCCCGCATTTCCCAGCGCGTTTCCCCGAACCCCCCCGCGCATCCGCCGACGGCACACCCCGCGCGTTCTCAATTGCCTCCTTCCGCTTCCCCCGGCGCTCCAGGGGGAAGCTCCGCCAGTGATGAGAGTTGCGGGGAGGCGCAAGTCGCGAGGGGGGCGCTTCCGCGTCCGCGCGTGTGGCTTCCGCGCCCGCTGCGAGCGGTGGCGGTGGCGCTGCTGGCGGGGGGAGCTGCGGGGTACGGCGCAGCGATGCGCGCGCGGTGGGAGATGTACCAACGCGGATGGCGGAAGCGAAGCAGGTGCGCATATGGGAGTGGGTATGGCAGAAGCACTGGGAAGTGAACTGGGGAGTGGTGTGGGGAGTGGGTTGGTGGCGGCACTTCCCTCCTTGCCCCGTTCCACATCCCCCTTCCGCTCCTCCTCTCTTCCTCCCGTCCCACTTCCCGGGGAGTGGCATGGCAGGGTGGGGGTGGCGGTGATAAGCGTGGGAAACATCACCTGGGGAGGCAATGGAAAGACGCCCATGGTCGCCTCCACCGCTCTGCACCTCCTCTCACTCCTCAACACTGCCCCGCACTCACAACCGGCCTCACAACCTGCCATGTCAGCCACCACCACCATTCCCACATCCTCCTCCCCCACTCCCACAACTCCCCCCTCTCCCACAACCGCCAACACCTCCCCCTCCAACTCTTCCTCCCCCACCCCTCCCCCTCGCGCCCCTTCCATCCTCATCCTGTCCCGGGTGAGCCCCCATCCTCCCCTCCTCCCCGCCTCCGCACTACCTCTCACACCTTCTGATATGCCACCTTCATCCCCTCTCGCTCCACTTCCCCCTCTTCCTTCCTTTATCATCCCCACAGTTCCCTCCGTCCTAACTTTTTTCGCCCCTCTTTCCCCCTCTTTGCGCCTCTCCCTCCTCCTTGTCCCCCTTCCGCCACCTTTCCCCGCCCCACCTGCCACGTGGCTCCAAGGGCTATGCAGGGGGTGACGAGGCGCGCATGCTGCAGCGCCAGCTCAGCGGCCACCCAGTTATCATTGCAGTGGGGCGGAAGCGTGCTGACGTGGCACGGCGAGTCATTGGCCAGTTTGGGGCGTGGAGGGGATGGGGGCAGGGAGCAGCGGAGGGGGGAAAGCATGAGGGGAGGAAAGAAGAGGGGAGGAAAGAGGAGGTGGTGGGGCATGGGGGGGTGGATGGGGGTGGTGGTGCAGTGGGGCCTGTTGCTGCTGTGATCATGGACGATGGCATGCAGGTGTGCTCCAACATCGGCATGCTCTGCATCATTTTACATGGTTCAGAACTTCCATTCGTGCATTGCTCAACACGCACATTGTTCAGTTTCACACCTGTACCCTCCTCGTGCTCCTGCCATCCTCCCTGCCTGCCCTCCTCCTCCCCTCCTCCCCTCCTCCCCTCCTCCCCTCCTCCCCTCCTCCCCTCCTCCCCTCTTCCCCCACCAGCACTGGGCGCTGCATCGCGATCTCGACATTGTCATGCTCAATGCCGTGTCGCCGCATGCACAAGGGCAAGAGCAAATACAAGCGCAAGCGGATTCTTATGCGCAAAGGCAATCAGGTTGCAGCAGTCCGTGGGGCAATGGGAAGCTGGTGCCACGTGGACCAATGAGAGAGCGGCTTGAGGCGCTGCAACGGGCAGATGTGGTTGTCATTCATAATGCTGACCTGGTAACCTGCCTTGCTGTCGTAATTTTCTTCACTTGCATGGTGATTTACAGACTGCGTGGTGATTCTTCAGTCGACTCAGAATCAACCTCATGGGTGGCATGCTGATCTGCCATTCGGATATGCCTCTTACCTCCGTCATGTGTGCAGGCGCCCCCGGCGTGTGTGGCAGCGCTAGCAGCACAGCTACAGCACCACATGCCACCACACGCCCTCCTCCTCCACTCCTCCCTCCGCCCCCTCCACCTCCTCTCCCCCTCGCCCTGCTCCTGCGCCTCTTCTCCTCTCCATTCTCTCCCCACTCCATCAGATGACCCTTTCACGTGCTCTCCTCCCACGCCTGCCTCTCCTGCCGGCCCGGCCTCCCCGGCGTGCCATGAGCCGCGGGGCACCACAGCCTTGAAAGGCGCCCAGGGCAGAGGGAACTCGCACCTGCTGCTGTGCCACAGGGAGGGGGGGGCTGGGGAAGGAGGAGGGGAGGAAGGGGAGGCAGGAGGCGGGGACAGGGTGGTGGCGTGTGCCAGCGTGGCGGGGCGTGATGCCGTGTGTCTCTCCGCCATTGGCTCGCCTGACGCCCTGCAAGCCACACTGCAGACGCAGGTGAGGGTGCCAGGTGGATGGATGGCAATTGGGCTGATACCAATGGTGTGTGGAAATACATTTGGCGGTACTGATCGTGATTGTTGCAGTAGGCCCATCATCCGTGCAGTAGGCCCATCATCCGTGCAGTAGGCCCATCATCCGTGCAGTAGGCCCATCATCCGTGCATCATGCACCTCCACTGCTTTTCCCCATGTGCCATCCTCCCTCCTGTGTGCGACCCTCCTTCCCCCCAGCTGCACCTGAGGCGGGTGGTGAGCATCGCCCTGCCCGACCACTCGCCCTTCTCCCTCCAGGTCAGCTGCTCACACTCCCCTGCCAAGCCAGCTACCACAGCCACCTGCCCATGTGCATGCATGCATGGCAATGGTGCTGCGGCACGCTACCAACTGGCATTCCTTTCCTTCTACCAACTCGTGCGAATTCCCTTTCCCTCTCCCTGCCCGCTGCCCGCCTGTGACTTCTCGGGCAGGAGGTGGGCGCAGTGCAGCAAGCCCTCGCCCTCCTCTCACGCACACCTGATTCCAACTCGCCCTCACATGATGTGCAAGGCGCACACGCACACGTGATGAAAGGAGAGGGTGGAGGCTGCGAGGGGGATTCTGCGTGTGGGCGTGGGCCGTTATTGATACTGACAGAGAAGGTGAGTGCTTGTAGTGAAATGAATGTTGGCATGTTGCTGTTACCCATCGGAGTGCTTTGCTCATTTACTCACTCCACTGAAGTCCTTTTTCTCCTGCTTTCTCCCAGCACCCAATCTCTCCTCCCCCCATTTCCTCACTGCCCTCCCGCGTATCTGCAGGACTTCGATAGGGATCCGCATTTTGTCCGGCACCATCTGGCTCCCTTCTCCCCTCTCATCCTTGGTTGCTCTCTTGAGCTTCTCGATCAACCTTCACAAATTGCGCGCTTTCACGAACTATTAGAGAAAACCCTACTGAATTCTGGCGGGAAGGATATGAAATGAGCTTCATGTAGTATAGCACAAGGCTCCCGTAGAAAAAAATATATTTGAATTAATTTGTAAAGCCTCTTGGAAACTTGGAGCTCTTCATTTAGAGGAATTGTAGCGTGCATAGTGTGTACCCCTACCTTCCTAGTCTCCGCCTAACCTGCTGAACGAACCTGACGTTGGTGAAGATGCATAGCGATTTCCGTAGGTGGGATGTGGCGCTGCGTACGCGTTCGGGAGAGAGACGAGCTTTGCGCCACTTTCGGTGATGTTGACCACGTCAACCAGCTTCGAGCCGTACCCGTTACAGCTGCACTGAACGAACCCCTCTCTGCCATGGTCCCAACCCAACCCAAGCCAAATCATCGAATTTTGTCCTCTGGTGTCGGAAGAAACAAAGGACATGAAACGCATCGAGCATGCTCGTTCGGTCCCCCTCCCGCCAGTCTTGCCAGGAGGGTCATTCCGCGTCAGCGATAACACCGACATTCGGTGGCGGCAAGGATGGCTTTCAAGTCGGGGAGGCTAGGCTAGGCTCTCAACATCGACGCGCGAAACTGGAACGCGACGCGGCTACGTACGAAGTGAGGGGCCAGCCACACGGATGCGAGAAATTCGCAACTGGCGAGCTGCGCATTTCGAATAAATTGGGTTGCGCTGCACACATAACCATCCACATTTCTCGTCACTCTTCACTTCCATTCCTCCTGCTCACGTCTCAGCTTACTCATTGGGACGTTTTTACAGGAACACCATACCCACGCAACTGACCTCCAAGTCTCGCGACACAAGCACCCCCCTTCTCCTTTCTTACCCACCTCACAAAAGCACATGGCGTCGGCATCCAGAGGGAGCATTCTCTCCGAGCTAGGCATAACGCCCACCACACTCATCTCGCTCGTCTCGCCACTCCTCTCCATCCCCTGCTGCCTGCTCCTCCGCGCCACCCCCTCCACCTCCGCGCGCCATGCCATCGGCGCGCTTACCGGACTGTTTCTCGCGCTCTCCGCTTTCGGTCCCACCATCTGGGCGCACTATGCTGTGCTCCTCACCTTCGCTTATAGCGCAATGTGCTTGTTTCGGAAACGATGCGGGATAATCACTCTGCTCGGCACATTCGCTTACCTCATCGTATGGTAAGCCTCGTCTGTTTTATCCTTACGCTTACTTCCAAGCACCGTTTTGCACTCGCGTCCTCCCTTACGCGCTCTAAAGTCTCTATTATTAACGAACCCTGCTACCCGATCTTTTCTTCACCTCCCCGCTGTTCCCTCCGACATTTCAGCCACGTGGTGTACGATAGCGGCTCGGCGCGCAGGGATCAGGGCATCGACTTCGCCGGTACGCTTATGATGGTGACACTCAAGCTGACGTCATGCGCCTTCGACTACCAGGACGGCCAATACCTCTCCGACCCCGTCGCCGCCGATTCCGCCGCGAGTGCCGCTGCTAATGGGCGGCCCATCCGCGGTGCGGACCGGCATTTGTGCGACCTTCCTTCTCCGCTTGAATTCATGGGTTACATGTTCTGCGGCGGGTTACATCTCACAGGACCGTACTTCGAAATGAAACGGTACCTCGAGTGGGCGAGGCACGAGGGTGTGTGGTCACGATCCGCGCGAAAGGCGCCGTTCTTGGTGCCGCTTTTGACGGCGCTGGCATGGGCCGTACCGTCGGGGCTGCTCCACCTGATGCTTAAACCGCGTATGAACGTCGGAATTACCTCAGACCCCGCTCAGGTCTGGAGCGTTTCGTACGTGGCGCGATGGGGGTACGCGATCCTGGCGACGTACGCCGTACGTACGAAGATCTACTACGTGTGGATGGTGGCGGAGGGCAGCATGGTCGCGAGCGGACTAGGTTTCAGCGGATGGGTGCCGCAACGCGGAGCTGCCGCTTCTAACAGCAGCAGGGGAAGCAGCAGAGCGCGGGGAGAAAAAGCGGAGCTAAGGGGACGGCGCGGGGGACTGGCCGGACAGGCGGATTGCGAGCCAGTGAGGGAGGTTTTCGGGGAGAGGTGTGTGAACGGTGGTGACGCGGACGTACCTGCACTGACGACTGCGGCGGTCACAGGAAGTGTGATACTATCGGATAGTGATGAAGACGAGAACAGCGCGCCTGTGATTAGGGCGAGTGTGCGAAAGACGAGCAGCAAGTCCAGGCCGAGAGTGGCTTTGACCGCAGCAGTGCCGCAGCTGGAGCAGATCGACTCGGACGAGGAGAGGGAGAGGGAGACGGGGGGGAAGAGGGGGAGTGGGGAGGAGCGGGAGGTGGAAGCTCAGGAGGCGAGCTGGAAGCGGGCGCGCAACATTGACATCGTGGGGGTGGAGGCGGTGACGGGCATGCATGGCTTCGCCAAGAACTGGAACGTGCGCACCGGCGAATGGCTCCGCACCTGTGAGTCCGCGTTTCAGCCCCCCTCCCTGTTTGCCTCTCTCTATTGCTTTCCCGCCACTAGACACATGACTGCATCTTTTCTGTCTGTGTTCTCATCTCACACGTACTCACTCTCTCCTCCCCACGCCATTCGTCACCCAACCATTGACGTGCAGACATCTACGAGCGTGTGACGCCAGAGGGGCAGAAGCCAGGCGTGCTGCCACTGATACTCACAGTCTGCACCAGCGCCGTCTGGCATGTAAGCCCCTTTCCACCCTTCACCTCTCTCACCTTCTGCTCCACTTGCTCCACTTCACCTTATGATGATCCCATCCCCACATTCCATGCCATTCCAGCACTATGTCCCTTTGCCGAGTCTGATCCCCCGGTGCCACGCCCTCACAATGCATCTACCTTTTCTCTACCCACGGCCCCTCTATGTTCTCTGCAGGGTGTGTACATTGGCGACTTCTTCTTCGCCCTCAACATGGCGTGGCTCATCATGGGTTCGCGCATCATCTACCGCTACCAGCGCACCATCCCCGCCTCCTCCCGCCTCCTCTCCCTCACGGTCGCCATGCTGCACTCCCTCTACTCCTTCCTCGGCGCCAACTACTCGGCGCAGGGTTTCATTCTCCTCTCTGCTTCACAAACACTCGTGGCGTACAGCGGCATGGGTTGGGTTGGCACGCTGTTGCCTCTCATTCCTGTGGCACTGTCACAGTTGGGCAAGCTAAGGGGGGCCCGGATCGCGGAAGTGGCATCCACAAGACATTCCAAAGTTCAGTAGCATGTCTGTAGTAGGGAGACAATATATACTATGTATAGGTTACTGTAGAAATGTAGACTTCTCAAAAGGTGAGCTCATATGGATTGAATGGCATGCCTTTTATGCCTCGCAATCCCCATGAGCTGATCAGGCAAACTGTTTGTATGCATGCATGACTACATAATTGATAAATCCAAATTATACGTGAAATGAGAGTCAGCTGCTAGCTGCAAATATACTCGTTTCCCGGCATTTTGGCCACACCAGCATGACGTGGCCATGCGAGGGCACTGGAGCTGTTCGTCGCCCTGGCCAGCACAGCTGGGAATGCTTCCATCCAGGCCGTTTCGCCCCAACTCATCCCAATCCAACGGGTCTCAACGGACACATATGGCTAGCTGGCAGTATGCATTTTCGGCGCGCGAGACAAGGCCACCGAGCAGAACAGCGGAGCAGACTTCCCTCGGGGATATCCTGCATCACTTCCTACCAGTGATTTGAATTTCCCAGCCTTTCCTCCATGGTATGTATAGCATAGCATGATCACAGCTGGCTCCTGACAAGCCGGGAAAACAAGTTCACGTTGATTAGAGTTAATATCTTAGAGCTAGATTCAATCACAATCAGACGTAGCATTCATTCTGCGTTTCACTGGAACGTAAGGCCAGAGCGAGAAGGTCGTAGTTAGGCTTAGATTCATAGAGAACTCCACAGCGGCTGCAGCCATGTCGCAAATACCCAAGACGATTCTAGTGCCGGTGGATCAGTCGGAGAACAGCGAGCGCGCCGTGCAGTACGCGCTCACGCGGGTGTGCCGCGCGGGCGTCGACACGCTGCATCTGCTGCACGTGCAGGACTCCACGCACCTCAGCGTCTCCATTGCAGGCGGTGAGTCACTCTCCGCGACACACGCCTCGGAATGTTACATTTTGAATGAAATTCGTGGAAGATTCCGTGTCGACCCGCGTATGCTGTCTCAGGTAAGGTCAGCAGAAATGTACCTTTCACGCTGTCGATCGTTTCGCTGGTTGTAAATCTGTTTTCGTCCTGCGAATCGCCTGTGGCGCGGCAGACATGGTGGTGCCGCCGGCGGTGGTGGACGAGATGTCGCGGCGCGCGTCGAGCGAGGCGTCCGTTCTCGTCCGCAAGTACCTCGCCGAGGCCGACGCCGCCAAGGTGCGTTGCGCCCACCCGCACGCCCGCCAAGGTTCGTTGCGCCCATCCGCACGCCGCCAAAGTGCGTTGCGCTGTTGTGTGGCATTCATCGGAATTCCTCTAGTCCATGCTTCCGTTTGCAAGATTCGTATTTAGCGTGATGGATACAGACGAACTTAGGTCCACATGCGCGGCCGGCTGATGCGCGCACGTGTGACCGGTTGTTGCGCGCATGTGCGGGGGTCGCGCAGGTGCCGGCGCAGGGGTACTACGCACTGGGGGACGCGCGCGAGGTGATTGTGGCGAGGGCCGCGGCGATCAAGGCGGACCTCATTGTCATGGGCACGCGCGGCATGGGCGCTATCTCGCGGTGAGTGGGGTAATGCGCGGAGGGAAGGGGGGAGGTAGCGGAGGCAAGGGGCACAGCATTTCAGCGTGTGTGCAAGGGGGCGCGGAAGGTAGCCCGGCAGGCGCGAAGCAGACGCGAGGTGAGGCAATGTGGCTTTTTCACCACCATGAAATCAACCTCACCATCCCTCCGCCCCCATATCCCCCTCACTCCCAAGCCTGCCCTTGCACTCCCACCACGTCCTCACACACCCCTCTGTCCACTCTCCTCTCACCTCTCTCTCCTATCTCCTCCCTCCTCTCTTTCGCCCCTCCCCCCCACACCTACCCCGCAGGGCGATGCTGGGCAGTGTGAGCGACTACGTGGTGAACCACGCCACGTGCGCCGTGCTCATAGTGCGCCCGCCGCCCCCGCCCTCCGCGGACCAGCCACAGCAGCAGCAGGCGCTGCAACAGGCGCCTCTGGACCACCCCTCCCAGCGCGTGCTGCTGCTCGCCGTTGACAACTCCGATGGCAGCCGACTCGCTCTCAGGTGGGCCTCAGGTGGGCTTCAGGTTGGCTTCAGGTGGGCTTCAGGTGGGCTTCAGGTGGGCTTCAGGTGGGCTTAAGGTGGGCCTCAGATTTGTCCCAGGTGGGCCTTAAATGGACCCTGGGTGGAGCCCAGGTGGGCGTTAGTGCGTGAGTGGAGGGAGGGACGCATGTGGGGGTGCATGGGCTCTTCCTCGTGCCTGGCACGCGAGTCTCCCTCGCGTACTCTCAATGTCGCTCGCTCACCCACCCTCTCTCATCTCAGCCAACCATTTCACTCCATCTCTCCCCCCCCTACACCTCTCCCTCTTCTTTCTCTCCCCCCTCCCCTCTCTTATCCGTGGTTCACCAGGTATGCATTGGAGGAGTTCTGTCGGGCGGATGACATACTCATTCTGCTCGCCGTGCTGCCCACACCCCCATGGGCCGCCTATGGCGAATACTACAACCAAGGTCAGCCGTCCACGCCTACACTCGCCTCTTTGCCGCCCAGGAACGCCTCATTCTCATCCTCCCCTTATCCCCATACCAGCCTACGAGCGCTCATACACATCTCCCTTGCAGAATCACGCATGTCATCCCCTATCACCACCCTCATGCTTTTGCATCCACCCCATCTTTTGTCCACCTCGTGTTTCCCACCACACCCACTGTGCATGCATGTTACACGCCATGGAGCAGAGATGATAGAGCGGCTGGAGCGGGCGGAGCTGCAGGAGGCAGATGCGATGCTGGAGGAGTTTGCCGAGCAAGTGCGCGCCATGCACATCGTGTGCAAAAAGGTGGGTTGGGGGGTCTATACGGCTTCAAGCCTTCTGCTTCAGTTCGCGCAAGATTTGTACCTTTCTCAGCCGCTCTATCTGCCAAGGCTCAAAACTGTCATGTGGCAATCCTCTGTGTGTGCGTGCAAGTGTGACTCATGGGTGGATGGGCTCGTGCATGTGTACTCGGCTTGTGTGCATGCGTGATGCCATGGGCGCGGCAATGTGGCTCTCAATGCGTGGTGTGTGCATGCGTGTGCAACAGGAGGTGATACGAGGGGACGTGCGGGAGACCATCTGCTACTCCGCTGAGCAGTTCGGGGCCAATGTGCTGCTCATGGGGTGCAGAGGACTGTCAGGGCTCAAAAAGTATTTGCCTGTGCTTTCACCTTCTCGTGCTCTCTTTGTTCTGCAGCCTTGGTTCTTCACGATCACCAGCAGTCTTCTCATGCAAGTGCCATTTTAGTCCAAGTGCCATACTCTCAGTGTGTCCTCTGCTTGCTTCCGGAGCCCACGTTTCTTCAATTGCTTGTCGACATGTTTTCCTGCCTTTCTTCCTTTTGGTTCATAGCCTGCTGTTCGCTGCTGATCTCCCTGTGCCTGTGCTGCGCAGAATGCTTCTTGGAAGTGTCAGCGACTACTGTGCTCACCATGCGGTAGGAGACCCACCCTTGCCTGCACTACTGCTTTTTACACCCCCTTCCACCCGAGTGTTTCCCTCTTGCCCCCCAGCAATGTGTCAAATTCATGCCTTTTCTACAACTCAACATAACTGAACAGTTCTGATGCCATTGACATGTCAATAGTGTGGTTGGCTTTCTCATGCTGGTGTCTGTTATATTTTCCCTTTCCCCTACGTTTTGCCTGGTCATGCTGATACCCTTACTGCGACGACAGAATGTGCCCATGCTGATAGTGAAACCACAGGAGCACTCCACTGTGGACCTTCTCTCCCCTCGAGTTGTACCAGTTGGCCATTCAGCAGAGGAATCATAAGAGTTGCCCAAAGATATTGGTGAAACATAGACACCACAATACACAGATGTGTGAGAATGTTTTTCGAAATTGAATAATTCCACTAGCTGGGAATATAAAGAGGTGATAGACCTCTTGTACCGTAATGTGAGCACCTTGAATTCTTTCAATATTCACAAAACTGAAAATTTACTTGTTGCAAAGCCTTGAAAAAACAGAAACTACACTGTTTCGGAGGATTCGAGTTCCGGCTGAGGAGGATCTGAATCTCCAGACACGCGAGAGATTTGTGGATGCCTCCCGACGTGTGCCGTGGCAACGCCTCTGATTGGCATGACTGTCTGCCCTCTTCCTCTCTTCGTGGAACGTTGCTGACATGGACGGCCTCGAGCTTTGCTTTCCCCCACCAGCACCCAGAGATTCTCCCGAATTTCTGGTGGGCCACGCGTCATAGCAATTCCGCTGGCGTCAACGGGCTTCCATGCCAAACGCAAGCCGAGTTACCATTTGCCGTCGTCAACGCCTTCGTGAACAGACGAAGCTCAAATTTCGCAACGTCTGACGAACCCCCTTTCCAGCTTGCAGCTTGTTACCCCCCCTCTCCATCCACTTCCGTCCACCCCCCAGCTCCAGCTGTCGCCCTACAGCAACTACTACAACTTCCTTTGTTCTTGTTCCTACATAGTTAGTTTCAGAATCACCACCACCATCACCAGCTTCTAGGATTCTGCTGCTCGCCTCGCCGTAACGCCGGCGTTATCGTCCGTCGCTTCCGACCCGATCAAACCGTTCGCCATTTCGAACCAGATCCCACTTCATTGGCTCTCATCCTGAGATCCTCCATTCATCCGTTCATTCGCCGTCACCCCATTCAACTGCTAACACCGGTTTGCCATCATGAGCGGAAGGCGAGCAGTTACCACCCTTCTTCGCGCTGCAGCGCAGGCGCGTCGGTATTCGTCGTCGTCGTCATCCGTGGCGACAGCGCATCAGCCGGCGGTGTTCGTGGATAAGACGACACGTGTGTTGTGTCAAGGCATCACCGGAAAGAACGGCACGTTCCATACGGAGCAGGCCATCGAGTATGGCACCAACATGGTACGCTCGATCGTGCGGTTGCAGCGCGAAACAGTAGATTTGTGCATGCGGTTTCATTGCGGTCAGACCTCTAATCTCGAGAGTCTGGCGCTCCTAGTCATCGACATCCTCGGCTAGGTGATGGTGGACTGACCACGAGAGTAAGAGAGTGAACA